TAAAGTTGATAGCATTGAAGGTGCTGGGTGTCTAAGAGCTGTTCCCTTCGGATGGTCGGTCATTAGGGAACCTTTTACAGAACAAACAATCCCACGTTGAGGAGACTATTTCCACCCTGCCCTGCTCTCCTTGCCCCTGCTTCCTTCCTCATCTCTGTCCTTCTTGTCCTGAAGTAGGAGTGGAAGAAAACGGATGGAGGAGAGATTTAAAAAAAAAGCCCAGGGATCGTGTGTGTGTGTGTGTGTGTGTGTGTGTGTGTTGTTTTGGTGGGGATGAGGGTGGGTATTGAGTTTACTGAGGGACTTGATTATGCCAAGTGCTTGCTCAAATTCTCATTATGGTCTGGAAGGACTGGAGATGGGTCAGGCACCCACCCATCTCAGGCCACCCTCAAGGTGTTATTAGTGACTTCTGTTCTGCCTCCAGGCCTTAGTCCTATTTCCTCTGCCCTAGCATCCCCTTCTCCTCCAGGGCCTGCAACACTTCTGCAAATTCTCCTTTCCCAGCACTTTTCATATTTTACTGGAATTGGGTCATTTAAATTGCTATCCTTAGCCTGCCGTCACCGGAAAGTGAGGTCTGTTGCATTCGCAGAGCTGACTGTGGGCGCCATAAATACGGGATGCAGTGGAAACTGGGATCAAATGGGAGGCAGGGCTGGAAGGGGAGCCAGGAGGGCCCCCGTTACTCAGGATATCACAAGATTTCATTCTGTATGTGACCCGGAAGGATTTGATTCCTACACTTACAGGGTTCCTCCTGTGAGGGCATAAAGTGAGCGAACCACGGAAACCTTCCCCTCCTCCCCGCAAGGATTTCACACATTGGGCTCCGGGGGGGCCTCGCCCTCCAGTCTTCTTGTATTCCTCGGATGCACGGGATAGATTGGTAGCTTCCCCGACTTTTCTCTCTCATCGCTTGTACAGGTTTTGTCCTCACGGGGACTCTCTGATGGGCTGGAATGTTCTCTTCGGATTTTAATTTAAAGGGGACATTTTTACATGAAACAAACACAAAACTTGGTTTATTTGGAAATTTCAAATAAAGGTGAATATTTTCTATCGATGAACCCTTCAGAAGTCTTCCTTTTTGCTGCGGGTCGGCTTGGGACCCGGGTCGCTCTGGCAAGGTGCGCTCTCCTCTGCCCTCGACGATCCGCGGGGGAACCCCTGGCGCCCCCGCCGGTTCTGGCGCGCCCAAGCATGCGCCCTGAGGCCGAGGGACGCGGCGCTTCGCCCCGCCCGGCCATCAGGGGGCGCGGCGGCGGGCGGGAGCGCCAGGGCAGGCGTTGGCTGCCGCCGCGCGGCCTAGGCCGGGAGTCAGCGAATCACCGAGAGGGGAACACCTCCAAAGTTCCTAGAGAGAATAAGTGGGCGTGGAGGCTACGGGGATAGGGTGGGGAGTGAAAAGGATCGACCCGGAAGCGAAATAGAGAGAACTTCCGTTCTTTGTTCTGTCCGGGTGTGTGGGTCTGTGACAGGGTCCAACGGGGCCTGGTCGGTGTCTGGCCCCCCAAATCTCCCGTCCCTGCCCCCAGGGTGAGTCCGGCCGCCCCCGGGGCTCGCGGTGAGACGGAGGCTATGGCCGCCGGGGAAGGGGGTGGTGTCCGCGCCGCTGCGGCCCGCGGGGTCCCAAGGCCCGCCCGGAGCTGCCGGGAGGCGCCGCTCCCTCCCCCGCAGCCGGTCCCCGACTCCGCTTCCCCGGGGACCTTCCTCCTCCAAACGGGGCCTTGCCAGGAGGGGAGGAAAGGGGCTCCGGTTCTGGGCTTGTGACTTAGCCCAGCTCGAGCACTTAAAAGTTCCAGTACGGCTGTAAACGGGCCCCTCTCTTTAGAACAGCTGATGACAGCTCCCCTAACTTGGTAATCCTCCCAGACGCTTTTATTTGGTGTTAACACAGTTATTCGCGCCAGTGGCAGGAGAAGTCTCTTTGTACTTAGCCGGGTCTGAGATCTGAGAAGGAGTTCAGCGAAGTGTTCGCAGTTAGAACTAGGTCTGGAATGGGGGGGGGAGGGTGCAAACTTAGTTCCCAGGAATAATCCCCTGGCGCTCAGTAAATCGAGTCCCTTACGGGGATTGGTACAGCTGTGTCTGGTTCCCGCTTTCAATTGTTAGGTCCCTGATTTGATCCGCTTTTGAAGTGGGATTGAACGCAGATGGATGTTTACGCTCTGAATGGCATTCGTAAACTCCACGAGAGGATAGGCAGGATGATGAACCCGAAATACATGGAACAATGAGAGGAGCTAAAGGTATTTATCCCCAAGAAGAGAAGTTTATGGACAGTGAGCGTCATTTGGTTTACAAGTGTTTGAGGAACAGTTGTGTGGAAGGAGAAGATTCTGTTCTTAAAGCACCTTAGGGCAGGGCGCTAGGCCTCTGTAAGGTGAAGGTCCAAGGGGGATAGGTTTTCCCGCCTTACCAACCGAAGACCTCTCTGATGGTGAAGCTCTGCAGCAATGGACAGACTCTGTGCTGAGGTTGAGAGTTTCTTGCAAGTTTAGCTGTCAGAACATTGGGAACTTGAGAAGGCATTTCTTACACTTGGGTGGGAGGTTGACCTGGAGAACCTTCAGTTGCCTTTCAGCTCTCCAGGGGTGCAACACAAATAACCAGTTCTGTCTTACTTGCGTTGATTAGTGTATGGTTTCTTTTCCTTATATATATCTGAGTAGAAATGAAGTTTACATGAATATTTTTTAAATCCTTTTTTCCCCCCTTAATCATACAGCACTGGTATCAGCTTAAGTTAGAATTCCCAGGAACTTGCACAAAGGCTTCCAAAGTCCCGATAATTGCTACTCTGGTTTTCTAGGACCTAACTCCAAAGAAGGAAGGAAAGATTCCAGCAGGTAAAGCTTTTCATGACTCGTTCTCACTGCCAGGTCATCTTTGTCAGTCCACAGGAGCAGCTTCAGGGAAAGGTGCTGGCCCCGGAGCAGGGAAGGGCCCTGCCTGGACCTGAAGCTGTGGGGGCACAATGGAGATTTTTCTTTCTGTGAGAAACATTGTGTACTGATGCAGACACTGGGGACTTGTTCTCAACAATATGCCTTTGAGTTCCAGCTTCAGTTAACCCAGCTTTGAGGAGGGAGGCTTGTTTTTTTTCCTCTGGAGTCAGAGCCTCTGAGTTTCCTTTCTAAAGAGAGTTTGGACCAAGAGCTGATTGGAGGTGTCTGCTTATAAACAGTCCTGGAAATCATAAAGTTGGTTGATAGGAACAAAAGATGACTGGCTCTGAGACAGAGTTGAAGGGACCCAGCAAGGAGGGAGCCTTGGTGGCAATAGGGTGTGTCACCTTGATTGCCAGTGGGCCTGGCTCACGCCTCATTCAGTGCCTTTCTCTGTGTAAAGGCATTGGTGATGGGCATTCTGTACCCCCTTGTTGCCCAAACACTAGAGTTCTGTGAACTCTGACTCTCAGGGCCCCTCTCCTGTTTATGCTTTATGTGAATGCAGCGGTCTATAATGATAAAGCAAATATTGTTCACATTCCTTTCAGTAGTGTCTTGCAATGTAGTGACAGCAGTTGTTTGTTACATGAGCAGATAAATAAAGAGGGAAGTAGACAAAGTCCAGGGGTTTTTTTCCTTCGCTCTTGCCCAAGTGTAAGAAAACTCTGGTGGCTGTTCTTGGTCTGTTGACTCCTGTCACGGCATTCAAGTGTGAAGTAGAAACTCCTGCTTGAGATCCAAACCTTAGTCTAGATACTCGCGTTCTGTTTTATTCACTAGAGCCACAGAGAACAGACCTCTCTTGATTGTCAAAGCACCTGGGGAATGGGGACATCAGGAGGGATGAAAATGGAGTAATGAGTAATCTTACGTTTTTTTAAAAAAAGTGTCGGTCCCTGCGGCAGGGACTTATATTCTGATCCAAGAAAATGTATTAGGAGAAAAGGGAGGTAGAAAGAAGGCTGGCTGCTACCTTCTCAGTGACGGGCCCAGCCTCTAGATCTGGCAAGTACATACACCTGCTCCCTGCCATGACACTGCATGGGGACCACAGAAGGGGCTCCCGTCCCTCAGTAACATCCTGCCTTTGGCTGAGACTGGAAGCAGACAGCTGTCTTAGAAAGGGGAAGAAGGATTTCTCTAATTTAATTAATAGATCTGAGCTATTTGCCCTTAGTTCTGGGTGTCAGCTGTTATTTCCCTAGGGTTTTCTAAACGTGAGACCGAGAACTCAATGGAAAGTTTCTCTGATCTCTGCCATTGGGTGCTGTTTTGTGACCCCTTTTCCTCAAAGGATAACACCTAAATGTAATATAACAGCTAGAAATCTAATAAAGTAGTTTTTTTCCTTCTACTAGTTCTAATGTTTATGAGGTCTTTTTAAAAAAAAAAATCTGTAAACAGGAGCACCTGGGTGGCTCAATGGGCTCAGCCTCCGACTCAGTCTCAGCTCAGGTCTTGATCTAAGGGTCATGAGTTCAAGCCCAGCATGGAGCCTACTTAAAAATAAATAAGTAAATAAAAAAATCTGTAAACAGTTAGCTTCATGCACCGCCCCAAACATTCTTAAAAGTTCATACAATAAATACACATTTTGCAGATCTATGTGTACATACTTTTTCACTTTATTGGTTTTTTTTTTTTTTAATTTCAATTGTTGCTTAGTATTTAATTCTGTTAGTGTCATTATTTGGCACCAGTGTTCCACGTTTTTTGTTGTTATAAATATCACTCAGTATGTCATGGGAGCCAAAGGTGGGATATTGTCTGGGAACAGGGGCCCTTTCTGTGGTGCTCATGGACGTTCTTCCCAGGGTATTTACCAGGGTCCAGAAGACTGGTCCTGTTTCCTGCATTTCCTCCTGCTAATCGTGGGTATTAACGGAGATGCTAGATGCTAAAGGCTAACACCAATGCCTTTACATTCAGGGGAGGGGGTTTTTTTGGTTTGGTTCTGTTTTTTCAAATTATTGAACCTTGAACTTGGCTTCCGCAGTGCTTCCTTGTTCTCATTCAAAACCTGCTTCCTGCTGAGTCTGCAGATAGTGGACCAGGGACCCAGAGCTTCTAGCCCTACCCATGGAAACTCAGGCTGATTGCGTATCCCAGGAACCTCAGGCCCTGCTGGAGAGTGGTAAGGAATAGAGATTCATTTATTCTTTTATTCAGGCATTCAGAAGTCGTGCCGCATGTCTTATCCACCAGGAATCGGGCTAACCCCTAGAATCCAGATGTGGCTGAGACACAGTCCTTCCCGTTTGGTAGCTTATACAGCCTAGTGGAAAAGCTAACTGCAGCCGGCAATAAATGCACAGCTTGGTAGCCTTTACAGCTGAGGCATTTGTGAAGGGCCGCTGGGACCTCATGCAGGATTAAGAAAACTGACTGTCACAGAATTCCAGGTGCTTGGTAGCAGCCGACCTCATAGTCCTACTTTGTGTTCTTTAGGAGCATGCACTTAGGGGAGGCTCTTGGGAAATCACTTTGTAGGTCACAGGCAAAAGGATGAAATGAGCAGAAGCCACTAAAATGTTTGTATTTTGCTGTCATCGACTGTGCCACTGACTTTGGAGCCAATTGCTGTTGGAAGGGTATGCTTATCAGGAAAAAACATTCAAGGATCTCTTTGTCCCGGTGATTGCACAGTCTTGTGTCTCTAGGGGTTTGGAGTCTCTAAGGGACAAATATGTTAAGGATTACAGAAGAAGAGACGTGATCAAGCCCAGAACGAGGAAACATTCTGTAGTGTTTAGATTTGACCTGGGGGTGAAGAGAAAGAAGGAGAATGGGCATTGTGTTGTTCAGTTGGCGTTGGGTGAGGCTGCTGGTTTCCTCCGGTCTAAGAGACCTTTGTGCACGAGTCTTGAGTTCAGAGGTGTGGAGAGGGATGGAAGGGGTGAGCAGGAATGTCCACGTTGCTGGCCAAGGTTGGGAGAAAAGACAAGAAGGTGCTGACCACTAATGGGAGGCCTGGGCTGGTTTCCGGGAGAGAGCAGTGACTGAGCAGAAGGGAAGGTACCTGGGGCAGATGGAGAGCAGGATCAGCAGGGCTGTGGACGCCTCACTTCAAGAGGGCGTGGGTCCTAGGTTGTTCCAGGACCCAGTGAGTTTTCTGTGGGTTGGGAGGCCAGAGAGCAGATGGGTTCGCTCATGGAGCCTTTTATTGTCCTTCAGCTCTTCCTTCCTCGACAGTTCCTGCATTTTCCGACAAGGACAGCCTGGGGGATGAGATGTTGGCAGCCGCACTCCTAAAGGCCAAGTCCCAGGTGAGCTGTGGTTCCCTTTATCCTCGTTCCTTCCCATTTCATGGAAACGTTCATGCCATGACATCCATTCAGTGCCCCAAACCGTGATTCCCCCCATCAGGAACGTGGTCCTTTCCTGCTGAATAACGGACCCCTCTCTTCCTCTGCCATGAGCTCCTTTCCCCCATCTCTTAGATACTCATTATTCATCCCTATCCCCAGTTGTTATTTTTGGTGCTGCCGGTCCCCTCCCTCCCCCTGAAATTGCATGCAAGACCGTGTTGTTTCAGGAGTTGGTAACGTTTGAGGATGTAGCTGTGTACTTCATCCGGAAGGAGTGGAAGCGTTTGGAGCCTGCTCAGAGGGACCTGTACAGGGATGTGATGCTGGAGAATTATGGGAATGTGTTCTCACTGGGTAAGGAGATAACGCTTTCTCAGTAAAACTCCCTTGGCATTTCTTTGTTTCCTTGTTGGCTAGTGATACTTGAGCAGCAAAATGATCAGCTAAAGATTGACGTAGTCTCAGAAAATTCTAACAATAATAGCAACTCCTGCTTGTACAGTAATTGGCAGTTTATAAAGAGCTTTCCTGTACATTCTGTCGTGGAAACCTCACAGTAACACAGTAATAGCGGTTGCTAGGGTTCTTCTTGTGTTCTCGGTGACGAAAGAGAAGTCAGAGGCCTTCAGTGCTTCACGGTGGTCCTATAGCTACCAAGTAGCAGGACTCGGGCCCTGGTCTTTCAGCTCCAGATCTGCTGCTTTTTTTTCCATGTGATTCTTAATGTGTAATTCAGAGCCCTTTTCAAAAGATGAGCATCTCGGGATCCCTGAACACGTGAGGTACTGCTGGGCGCCCATTTGCTCATGCTGGAACTCCTCCTTCCCTGCTCTGTTTTACCCCCTCGAGGGGTCCATTGCTTTGTTCAGAACTAGCGTGGCTGCGACTCCTGGAGAAATTTGCAACTGGCATCTTTAACCTTTTACTCTGTGGACTGTTAATCTGTGACTTGTCAGTCACGCACCGTCCATGAGAACATTTTCTGGGCAGTGCAGGGCGTCGCCCTCCCTCCCACTGGAGACTCCCTGCACATTTCCTTGCTGGCCCTGCGAATCCTGGGTGCGGACTCAAGCTCTGGGATCACTCGCTCTGAGCAGGATAAACCTTGTCCCGTGGGCAGGATTTCCATTTCTGAATTTTGACACAATCTTTGGGCTGCATTGAGACGACGAGCCGAGGGTCCTGGGTTTGAAGGGACCTGAGAACAGAGAGGTCCTGAGAGGTGCCTGTTCAGGGGAGGGAGAAACAGCTGTTTTTGTTCTCTAACACTCATTCCCTGTCTTTACTTCGTAAAACATTGACAGACTAAAAATGCTGTCTAGACCCTTTTCACTCATCCTGTTTGCCCAAAGCTCCCTTTGAAAATCCCAAAGCAGTGGAAATAAGGAAGTCAGGCAAGAAGATGGTTCATGTACCCTCACACCTTGGCCCAGCCTTCGAGGCCTAGGGCCTAGAGGCGGACTGAGCTCCATCTTTTGCCTGTTTCCGTGGGTTTGGCATGTGTGGCCTACAGACGTGATTGTTCTTTTCACCTGAGGCTGTGGCGGTCACTGTGGCCTCCCCCTCGTCGCTTCTGCTCTGCGGCTGTTTCCCATCACCCTTCTGGGCTTGCTTATGTTTCTTCTTCCCCATCTTCTGGAAGCCCCTCTCTCCCCACTTGCATTTCCAGTCTCTGACCTCTGTGAGAATTTCGTCACTTCCTTAAACAGCATGTCCTTTCTCTTCTGTTTCCGTTTCCCCACCCCTGCCTGGTCTGTCTTCCTCTCCTCCCATCTCCAGCCTTCTCTATACTTCCAGATCTTTTCACTTTGATTTTGCTTCTTGCCTTTCTCCTTCCTTATTTTCTCGATGCAGATTTCTCATTGCGCGTCAGCTGCGCCCAGCCCGGGCAGGTCTGCACACAGATGAGAGGCTTGTGCTTTTAGCCCCGTGAACGTCTTTCTCGTAATTATCCTACCCTCTGGTTTTGATCCTTTCTTCCACAAGGAACAAGTGATGTTTGTATTTTGTATTGTGCCAGATGGTGAGACCAGAACTGAGCATGATCAAGAAATTTCCGAAGATACTGGATCACATGGGGTGCTATTGGGAAGATTCCAAAAGGATATTTCTCAGGGTCTTAAATTTGAAGAAGCCTATGAACAAGAAGTCAGTCTCAAGAGGCAACTGGGGAACTCCTCTGGAGAAAGATTGAATAGGAAGATACAAGATTTTGGTCAAGTGACAGATGAGGAAAAGCTAACCCCTGTGGGAGAGAGAAATGAGAAATACAGTGATTTTGGGAACAGCTTCACTGTGAGTTCTAACCTTATTTCGCATCAGAGACTTCCTGTGGGAGACAGACCCCATAAGTGTGATGAATGTAGCAAGAGCTTTAATCGAACTTCAGACCTTATTCAACATCAGAGAATCCACACTGGGGAGAAACCCTATGAATGTAGTGAGTGTGGGAAGGCCTTCAGTCAGAGCTCACATCTTATTCAGCATCAAAGAATCCACACTGGAGAGAAACCTTACGAATGTAACGATTGTGGGAAGACCTTCAGTTGTAGCTCTGCCCTCATTCTACATCGGAGGATCCACACGGGGGAGAAGCCCTATGAATGTAATGAATGTGGGAAAACCTTTAGCTGGAGCTCCACCCTTACTCATCATCAGAGAATCCACACTGGAGAGAAACCGTATGCTTGTAATGAATGTGGGAAGGCCTTCAGCAGGAGCTCCACCCTTATCCATCACCAGAGAATCCACACTGGAGAGAAGCCCTATGAATGTAATGAGTGTGGGAAGGCCTTCAGCCAGAGCTCCCACCTCTATCAGCACCAGAGAATCCACACTGGAGAGAAGCCCTATGAATGTATGGAATGTGGAGGAAAGTTTACTTATAGTTCAGGCCTTATTCAGCATCAAAGAATCCACACAGGGGAGAATCCCTATGAATGTAGTGAGTGTGGGAAGGCCTTTAGGTATAGCTCAGCTCTTGTTCGCCACCAGAGAATTCACACTGGAGAGAAGCCTTTGAATGTAATGGGAATGAGCAAAAGTTCTCTCAGAGTCACTGCTGAATTAAATATCAGAGAGTCTACCTGAGAGAGCGCCACACACCTGTTTTCCTCACTTCCTCTGCGTCTAAAGAGTTCCTGCCTTACTATACAAGTATGAACATCTTAGAATGTGTCCCTTCCGACTCAAACCTTTCACTTTAGAGAACGGGGCAAACTGGGGAAATCATGCTGGCACATCCTCATGGTGAGCCACCAGGTCAGTTTCCCCAGGAATCACACCAGGAGGCAAGCGGCAGGCTAAGTGCTGGGAATACGAGGGAAGCTCTGGGACCAGTCACCTTCCATTTTGGAAGTGAGTTTGCACTAGACCATTTCTCTCACACCAGAGGAGCCTTTCTTTCCAAGGTGGGGAATGGAAGCACAGTAGGAATAAAATTCCAAGGATTCCTCCAGTTGGAGTCAGTATGCTCAGCACAGAAGGCAGTGGAAAGGATGTTTGGAGTCCTGCTATTTGCTAAGAAGGGCACATGGAGGCTCTCTTTCAAAGCCACTGTTCCTAATCTAGCTTTAAGTTTTGATAAGGAATGTGCTGTTTGTTGTTGTTGTCGCCGTTGTTCCATGACTTCATTAATTATGGAAATTTGGGGCTGAGGGATTATTGGGGGGCCCCATGTATTTTGGGGGGCTCTTGGAGCCACAAGCCCGGTTCCAAGAGCAGCGAGGCAATTTTGTTGGAGAACTTGTCCTTCCCTATTGTGATAGGTCTGATTGGGAAATCCATCTGATCATCAGTAAGGCTCACAGGGAGAGGATCAAAAGCATTTAGCATTGGCCTGCTTCCTAACCTCTCTCCCTGTTCCTCTCCCCACTCCCGCGTTGAAAACTGATTGAACCCAAACCCGCAGTTGCTAAGAATAGAATGCTTTTAAGGAGCTCGATCAGCCAGCTTGCCCTGCCCTCTGTCACCTATGACCTATGCCATCTGGCTCCAGCGGCTGGACCTCTCATGACCCCACCTCTGACTTCAGCAGCCAAGTATGAATGCAAAGAAAGAGCAAAGCCCAGAGAAGGGAGTCTCTGGCCTGACACGGCCGCTGGGCTCCTTGCTGGGTTAGGATGGAGCTCGAGTTTTCCCAGGTGAAGGGATGATCTTTCGTTATCTTTTCCCAATCCTGCTCATCCTGTAGCATAAATGAAGTGCACTATTAAACAGAATAGTTTTGTTAGAAGGAGAGATTGTGTTTTTGTGCAGGAGCCAAATTTATTTCAATTAAAATAGGAAACCGTGACTATAACTGGAATCTTTAAAATTTAATCTTTTAGAATTTTTTTTTCCAGACAACTGTTTCTCTTTCACACACATATGACCTCTCACTGTCAAGACTCTGTCGCATTCCTCTAGATACCGCCACAGACTCTCAGTCACGTACACGTTGGATTTCGTGTGCGGCATATCATTCTGTGTGGTACGATACTTAAGACCAGCAACCCAAACTAGAAAGGTGTTCCTGGGTGTGGGGGCCCTGACAAGCGTGTACTTGGGTTTTGGGTCGCAGTGGGCATATGTAGATTTCTTGTTCGGGCTCTTGGTGGGAGGAGGTTCCAGTCATGGAGGAGGCGGAGATGAAAGTCTTATGGAGAAGATGGGGAAATGTCTGGAACTGGCCTCTGGAAAATCTTAGAGCATATATTGTGATTGACCACCTAATATGTTTTTGATTCTTAAAGCTATAATGAAACTCATTCTTTTGGCTCTTCTTTGAGATTCCCCACGTACTTACAGATTGACTTTGTGTCTCAAAGTGTAGACCATGAACTACCCATATTAGAATCACTAGGCTGCTTGTTAGTAATGCAGGTTTCTGAACCCCCAAATCGGACCTGTCAAATAATTTCTGAGATTAGAGCCTAAAAATTTACACTGAAAAGCAAGAACTAGTAACGGAGTAGAGAATATTTCTGGAGGGAGATGAGCAAGGTCTTGTAAAACCTCTAAAACATAGAGGGGAAGAGGTTCCAGGCAGGACCGTTTGGGGGTGGGTGCGGCCTGAGCATGGCCACTTATGTGGAGATTCAGGTTGTGGAGCTCTGGGAAAGACCCCCCGAACAGGTGAAACTGCTAGGTGATGGGTAGTCGCCACACATGAGGGATCAACCCCTTCTCTGCCCACACGCTGAACTCCCCCCACCCCACAAAGACCTCATGACTCCCCCCTTCAGAGCATCTCCGTGGGACCTGGGAATGATCTGGACTGTTGCATGAAAATTATGTTTATTTTTAAGTATCTTTGAAGCTACTATAACATTTTACTCATCTGGTTTTCCTGATTATTGCTATTTCCCATCATGATTCCTCTTTTCTCAGTCCCTGAGTATTCCTGAATGCTGGGTCATGATACCACTTTGTCTTTCTTTACCATTACCCTTGGAGCCACTTACTCCTGTAGTCTCAACTCTTACCTGTGCAAATAAGTTTTAAATCTGCTCCTGTGCTACTAGTCTCTCCCAAGTTCCAGTCTTGGGTCTCCAGCAGACTGCTGGGCATTTGGACTTGGACCTCTAAAAGTTTCAAGTTAACGTGTTTCAAACCAGATACACCTTTCCCATAAACTGCCCCCTCTCAGAATTTCTATAAACTCAGGGTCAAACCTTCAGAGTTTTCTTTGGTTACTCAGCCTACATCTGACCAGCATCAAGTCCTAGGCAGGTGAATTCAGTAGGCATGGAGTGGAAAGAGATTATTGGCAGAGGGGAGGGTTTCAGAATTGAGGTCGTGGGGGAGGTGGGATTTCCAAGTGATGGTAATAATAGGAGCTGACACATGGCATATCCTCCGCCTGACCCTTTTCCAAGTGGTTTTCAGATGTTAAATCATGTAATCCTTACAACCACCTGTGTGTGAGGTGGGTGTTAGTATTAACCCCGTCTTACAGACGAAACCATTGAACTTGCCAGGTGAGGCGTGACCTTGGGATCAGAGAATGGAAGACCCTGGGTTGCTCTACTCGGTGGGAGGCTGGACCCCGTGGCCCAGACGGCCCCCATGTGAGGTGGGGAGGCGTGTGTGAAGAGAGCCTCACCCAGGCGATCACCTTGCCCTGTCCCTTAGGATTCTGTGACCTCCGTCGTTCCTCTTTGCTTCCATTGCTGCTAAGCCTAGGGTTCAGGTCCTTATTACTTTTCCCCTCGGTTATATAAATAGTCTCCTTGTGGATTGTTCTCTTTATTTTCTCTCAGTCTCCCCAAAGCACTACAGCCATCTTGTCACTCCTTCAGTGGCTTCTCCCTTCTTAATAAAATTCGAAATCCTTAGTCGAATAGTGAAGGCTTTCCTTGAGCAGGTCTCTGCATATCTGTACAGCCGTATCTACAACTGCGCCTCTTCACACATTGAAAAACCAGATTTGTGAAACCCAGTGCTGGTCAGTAGTGAGGGTGGTAAAAATACATATTTTATTTAGTACTGTTGCAATAGAGGAAAAGAGACCTCTGTATAGAACTGGGCTCATGTCCGAATACCGCTGGTCAAGTGGGGATTTACAGCCGAGGGGCAAGGTAGGGGTCAGTGGATGGAAAATTTCTAAGAGAAAAAAAAAACATCAGGGTAAGAAGGATTTTGGTTAAACTGACCTAACAGGATTCTTGCTGAAGAAAGGCCGGGGTGAGCAGATCCCACCCTGAGGTGACGGTGGAGGATGAGGGACTGTTGGTAAACTGACTTCTCAGGGTTCTTGCTAAACCTAGATTTATGAGGAAACGCACAGAAGGGCCTAGGAGAAGGTTCAGGATCCTGAGTTTGGTCAAGGAAAGAAGCTTTGTCCCATCAAATAGCAAGATGATAACAGGGCCCGTCCACACCTTACGTTCATGCCCACGAGTGTGTTCACTCGTGGTGTTCCCACATCCTGCTGGGGTTCCCCACGTTCAATCAATAAAAATCAGAGTTCAAGAGGGCCTTAGAAACCATCTTCAACCTCCTGCTCCATGCAGAAGTTCAGCGGTAGCCCTGACAGATGACCATCCATTCTCTCCTGCACTGTCTTCAGGATGAGAGGCTCCTTGTTGTACCCAGTAGAAAAGCAGGAGGTTCCCCTGTTGAATGTTCTCACTGCTAGAAGTTCATTTGACCTGAATTCTGCCTCCTTCTTAAGTTTCTGCCTCCCGTGGTTAGCTTCTGGTTTTGCCTCTCATCTGTGAAATGAGAAAGATGGGCAAGATTTCCAAGGACATTATCTGTCATAAAAGCAGTTTCAGGGCGCCTGGGTGGCTCGGTTGGTTAAGCGACTGCCTTTGGCTCAGGTCATGATTCTGGAGGCCCCGGGATCGAGTCCCACATCGGGCTCCCTGCTCGGCGGGGAGTCTGCTTCTCCCTCTGACCCTCTTCCCTCTCGTGCTCTCTCTCAAATAAATAAAATCTTTAAAAAAATAAAAAATAAAAGCAGTTTCATTCCCAGTGCCCCTCACCCATTCTGAGTTCCGTCTGTTCTTGAGATCCAGCTCTTATTAGCTGAGAACGCATATTATGTGATAAATTTCCAAGTAAGGGAAAACCCTGGTTTTACCTGAACATGTCAGCTGAGAGGAGTAGGAACCACAGAGTGGTGGTGGAGAAGAAAATCTTAATATTTTTAAAAAATAAATTATGGAGTTTAAATTTTTTAATCTCCTTCAAAGAAAAAAATAAAGGAAAGCCCAGTCAGGTGTATTATTTTAAATATGCCAGTAATGAAGAACTGAAGATTTTAAAATGAATACAAAATGACATGGACTAGGGGCACCTGGCTGGCTCAGTTGGTAGAGCATGTGACTCTTGATCTCGGGGTCATAGGTTCGAGCCCCACCCTGGGTGTAGAGCTTACTTTAAAAAAAAATGACATGGACTATTTTTTACATAAAGATAAATCTGGTCACCAGAGTGGTTTCTTCTCCACAAGCATATTTTTCTTTGTGTATTTCCTACTTTGGTTGCTGACATCATTCACTCCCCAGTCAACCAAGCCAGAAACCTGGGAATTGTTCTGGATGCGTTGTTGCTCTGCATCTACCCACGCCCCCACCTCCACTTGTCAGGTAATATCCAGCCCATCCTGTGTTGCACACCCTTGACTCCCACATTGGCCTGGGCTCTCCTTAACTCGTTCTGGGACTCTGGCCCCAGCCTTACAGAAGTCTCTTTGCTTCCAAAGCCTTGCTCCTCAATCCATTCTTCATACCTCTGCATGAGCTCTCTAAAATGCCAAGTGTGTGACACCATCACCCAAACCTTTCAGTGGCCCCTCTCATTCCTTAGGCCAGTGACCAAATTTTTTTTTAA